AACTTTGTTAAAATTTTAGACTTATTTTTACTTTGTACATATGCGGACGTAGAGATAGTTGAAGCAACTTAGAGCAATAGCTCTCGAATGAGATAGAAAATGCCTTCTATACTTACAAGTTCTATTCAGTCAAGCTCTAATTCTTTATTAGTCAATGATGTAGTATCTACTTAATTTTTTGACTTCTTAACTTTAAGATCTTTTTTCTTCTTTGCAACTTAGATGGAAAAATAATTATACTTTTGTTTGAAGAAGAGCATATACTTAATATATTTTTTGTTCTATTTACCAACAACTATTGCTTTTGAATCTTAGATTAAAATATTTTAAACTAAATCCTTATAAAAAGTACCTATAATGTTTTTTCTATTTTTTTTTATTTTAGTAGAAAAATTAGCATGCACATCTACTACCTTAAAAATAACTATTTCTTTTTTACTCTTTAAAAAATGATCTAACATTTTCATTTTAGTCAAAAGTTCCAAATTAGTTTTTTACAATGCATTTAATTCATTAATTGTAAGTAACTTGAAATATTAACTTTCACACTAGTGTAGTAGAGCTCACAATTTAATCCAATTGTCTTCTTTTTTAGACCCTAACTTTACTAAATGCATTAAATTACTTAAATGCAAGAAAAAAGAAGAACTTTCTTCAATTCTAGGTAATGACAAGTTTGCAAATAGACTATATTTCATAAAATTTATATAGATTGAAATCCTATTCTAAAATTTTAAGAAGAATAATTAGGATTTTTTTAGAAAACAATTCTAAGCATCATTGAAGTTGGTAATATGATAGTATATATTATATGTTTTTTTGAATTTATTTATTTTTATGAGAAACAAAATCCTTATTCTACATTGGAATATAGACAAAATAGCCAAAAAAAGAACTATAAGGTAAGTAAGTAATTAAAAAATCTCTAGATAAAAGTTATTTTTACTATTAATCAAACTCTAATAAGATAATTAAAAAAGTACTTCTATTTTTTCTATGTAAAACACTTTTATGTAGTAACATGGAAATAAGGTATAAGAAAAAATATAAATTACACTTTAGAAGGATATGGAAAAAAGATAGGGTGGTATCAAATATATTTAGTATTAATGCTATCTTTTTATAAAATAAAATTCTACTTTTTTTGTAAGAGTATAAACAAAGAAAAATAAATTAGGTTAAAAAAATATATTATATATATCTTTAAAAAGGAGTTAAGATTAGTTTTTTTATAAAAATTACCTTAAAAAATTAGAAATTGATACCTAAAAATGATCAATTGAGTATCACAACTTGAGACACAAAACCATAGATCTACAATAAATTTGGAATTCTTTTATTGATCAAAGAAAAAAGTTAGAGAAAAAACTTTCTATATAATTTTTAGAATTGATTTTCAATTAATTAAATTAATATTTTATTGCTAAGAATTCTTCAAAATCATAGTTTTTTTTAAGCGATTTTAAATTTTGAGAAATAAAATAATATTGATATATTAAAAGATTTTATAAGTATGGTATAAATTGACAAGTGAAACTTTGTTGAATAATAAATTTACTTATCTTCAATGTATTTTTTTAAATTAAAATGAATTAAAAAAATAGATTAAAGGTTATTAAATTTTAATTTAATTGGAATCTTAGAATTTTACTTTTAAGGATTAATAAGAGTTTTTTTGATCTTATCGAATGTACTAATATAATTAAGATAAAATTTTGTAACATCATATTAACTTAGATTGAAATATTTTTATAATTTTTTAAAGAAATTTGATGGTTTATCAAAGAGATATGGCTACTGGTGGATTAACATCAAGATTAAAAAAAACAAGGATGACCAATAACCAAGCAAATTAGGAGTTGTTTTTTCTAATCAATAGTTGGAATTTTTTTAAAACTTTTTTTTTTGTTTTAAATTTAGTAGATTGAAATACTTTAAAATTATAAATTAAAATCAACGATTTAATTAATAATTATTAATGTTTTAAAACTGCTATAAATTTATGTGGGATTTGATTAAGGTATCTTTAGGATTTTATTAAATATTATTGGAGTTTATTTAGGATTTTTTAAGGATTTTCTTTTATAATTATTAGAATTATTCAAGATATGATTAGAATATTTTTAGAGTTTACTTAGAAATTCTTTAAGGTTTCTTTGAAGTTTATAACTTCTTTGGAGTTTTTTATTTTATTTTATTTTGTTTTGAATTTTGAATTTTGAATTTTTTTAGAATTTCTTCATAATATATATATATATATATATATATATATATATATATATATATATATTCTTTTAAGATTATTTTATGATTTCTTAGTTATTTTTTAAGGATTTTTTAAAATATTTTTTATAATTTCTTTGGTATACTTTATAAATTATCTAATATTTTTTTAAGGATTTTTTAAAGATCCTTTAGGATTTGATTAAATTTTGACTATAATTATTAAGGTTCAATCGAACTTTTATTAGAATTATAATAGAATTGTTAGGTTTTTCATTTGTTGTAAAAATAAGTCACCCTCCGTGAATAGGCACTTGATGCATTCTCAAATGAGATGACACATAATACAACAATGTCACTTGGTTTATATACATTTCAAGGCTCAAATCTCAATTTCAGTCTTAAGACCATATAGATCTCTAATTTACATCATGACTTTAAAAACATTAAGGTCCTTACTTGAATTGTCTTCAAGAAATTGTCAAATAAATTGCAAAAAGTAGCACCTTAAGTAATAATGTATTTGGGCAAAGTTTTTTTGTAAAAAACCTAAAAATATCACAAATTAAAAACCAAGGTTTTTTATAGTTCTTTATTGAGGGGATGATTAAAAACTAGAGATTCAAATGATTAATCTAATTAGTGAAAAGAAGATATCAATACTAATGGACTATAATAAATTTTATATGTATTGTAGATTTTTTCTAGATACTAGACATAAAATTAAAAATTGTGACATTCTTTGGCCATCTAAAAGAAAATAATAATAATAATAATAATAAAGATTTTAAAGGATTTGATTAAGATTATTTTTAGATTTATTTAAAATTTGATTAAGATTTGATTATAAAATTAAGAATTTCATTTTTATTTTATTAAAATTTAATTTAAATTTAATTATGATTTTTTTAAAATTATCTTAGATTTGATTAGGATTTATTTAGGATTTATTTAGGATTTCTTATGGTTCCTTCAAGATTTAATGAAGATTTTTTAAAGATTTTTTAAGACTTATTTGAAGTTGATTAGTGTGTCATAAGATCTTTTTAAGTTATTCAAAATTTCTACGAAGGTTTTTCTAAACATCTTGTGCATTGTTTTTTATTTTATTGCTTATAAATCTTTATTCAAGGTAAGATCAAATCCTTCTAAAGCAAAATGCTAAGTGCATTCTTAAGCTGATTTTGACATTACACAACACTTGTCTCTTTGGGTACCGATCCAAGATTTTTTTAAATAATTTTTTGCTGAAAAATACCTTTTTATCTTCATCAAAAGTTGTTTTCAATATTATATTTGCCATTGATATAAAAAATAATGATATATATGTTTTGTCTCAATAATGATCTAACAAAGTAAGTAGAAGTTCCTTAAATAAAAAAGACAATATAAACTAAAAAAATTTACTGCCTCTATTTTTTATGTATGATTTTTGCAGTTTTTTATTATATTTGTAACAAAGTTCTGTTAGATTATTAGTCTGTGTGTGCTCATTTACCTAAGTGCCATGTTACAACATAACAATACAATGATCTATCTTTTAATGGCAAAATTTGTAATGATGAATGATTTTGTTTTGTGATATGGTCAAGCTTTCTAAACTATAGTAGAATGAAATAGAAACTTACAAAAGACAAAGTGTGAAAGCAAGCAATCAATAGCCAAGCTACACTTTGTAGTTAGAATAGAACTTGGATAGGTAAACATTTACTTGGCATTAGATAGGTATAAACAATTATATAAAATAAAAAATTACTTCATTGTAATATTATTGTACATTATAAAACTAATACTAACTCCTAGTATTATATAGTTGTTGACTAGAAAACATACTTCATTTACCAAGCAAGTCATTGGGTTTTAGATCCTTGTGTGTCTTGTACTTGACTCACTGAATCTGGTAAACCACGGCTGAGTCAATGTTACCATCATTGAAAAAGAAAAGCAACATCACTGTGCTCCTGTTTCACAAGTTGACTTCTGTGCTTTGTTTTCTACAGTTCTCGCTTTTAAGGCGCTGTTTCCACACTTGTGGAACCCGCCAGAATAAAAATCGATGACTATGTCAAAATTGCTCTAGGTCTACAAGGATTGGATTTAGAACCCGCATCCCAAGTTTCTGCCGGAGTTCGATGAGTTTGCAGACTAGAGTTTACAGCTTCACATTTGCGTTACTGAGAAACACACAATTAGTCAGAGGTCTAGTTCGGTAAAGAATAATTCACCAAGTGATAGCTCCATGTCATGATTCTATCGGCAAGAGCACCTAATGAACGATTATGACATGAAAAATAACACGTAATAAACGTTAGATACGAAGCTATCCTTGAATTACTGTACTTCTCAATTTTGGGCACTCCCTTTCGCATCTTCTCCTCCTAACAAGTTGGGTGTAGAAGGACGTTCAACAACCCTACGAGCAGATTCTTTACTGTTTCGTGAAGTGCGACATCAGATCATTTTCAACATCGCCTGCTTCAACGCAGAACCTGCATCGCAAAAGAATAGATGTGCTCCTCAAACTGGTTGGATGGTAACTGACTGTATGTAAACTGCAAATGTACTTCACCAGAATAGCTCCTCATTGAATCTATTTCTTAATCTCAAGGCCATCGGGCTAAAGTGACTGCAATAGGATAAATATGTGCCGCTTTGAAGCATTAAAACCGCTGATTTTCAGTGTTCCTTGCAGAATGACTGCCAAGCTGCATTGGGCTTGATCCTAAACTAACTGTGGAACAAAGCTGTGTGGAGAAGAACAATTGCAGACCACCAAGTTTCACAACACTGAAGAGCTTGCCTTCAATTAACATTAGTGAATTACAATCGAATAGGGTAGATCTTCGAGTTACCCGGTTGTTTATTGGAAAGTCGCCGATTTCTATTTTTACACTTGTTCGAATTCATTCGAACCAGGCCAATATGGCCTCTGAATTACTCGCCGTCTAAATGGACGAGTTCTAATTCTAAACCTAACCTAGCGTAATCTACAAGGTCGTCGTTAACGGAAGGTTGTAACTCGGTACCCAGGAGCTGGCTCCCACGAAATTGTTCGCTTGGTACGTCTGCGCAGTGCTCGCGGAGGTGATCTGATGCGACCAAGACACTCGCTTGCTAGTGTCAGCGCCTGCACCAAAACTCTGGTACTCGGCGAAGTAGGAGGTGTACAGGCCGAAAGTAGTCGTGTTCCAAGGCATCCACCCCGAGGGATCGACGTGCGCCAGCACCTCCGACTTCAACAGAACGCATACAGAATAAGCTTTCCAGGGTCGGCCCAAGAAGGTTTTGTAAAAAGTGGTATTTGCCTTGAGTTCCGGGGTTCCGTCAAAAACGCAGTTCTGGAAGGAGAACCCCGTGGTCATCTGCGGGTCGGTTCTGCCTTGCGCAGTGTATGTATTCTGCTGCCCGAGCAAAGTCGACCGTTTCGCAATTATCTTGCAGTTCTGGAAGGAAGCCTCGGCATTGCCAAAGATGAAGTCCACTGTGCCGTAGACGGTGCAGTCGCGATAGTATTGCCGGAAAGAGTGCGCGTAGAGCGTATCTTGGTAGCTGTCGAATGTTACTTGGTACATGGCGATCAACCTTGCCGTCCCTCTGAATGCTACGGCCTGGTGGCCTTCAGCTCCAGCAGTGTTCTCCACCTTGAATGACCGGCCGATAAAACCATCCCCTGAGACGACTGCAAGGAAAAAACAATAAATAAATAAATAAAAATAATATAAGATCATTTAGGCAGTCTCCAGCTGGAGATAATTACAATCATCCGATTCCATAGTTGAAGAATATAAACCATAAGAAGATATATCGAGACAATGCCTAAGTAATCCTCCATTTCTGAGACCTTCGGAAGAAACTTACTCAGAGTTGCGGATTTGAAAGTGGTCATCCCCTTCATTAGCGCAACGTTCCGACTTCCCGTGATGATGGTCTTATCGCCATCGCCGATGAACGTCAAGTACTTGGCAGTTTTCGGCACGGTCACTTGCTCGTTGTACGTACCCGATTTGATATAAATCACCAAACGGGCGCTGTTCTCCTTGTGAGCGTTCACCGCTTCCTGAATTGTCTTAAAATCTCCGGAGCCATCCTGCGCCACCACCACGTCGTACGTGGGAGCTTGCAAGAGATGGCGCTTCGTCTGAGCATCCATCCATCCAGGAAGACTGTCTGTAGTGGACAGAAGCCTCCGATTGCGAAAACCAGGAACTGGCGGAATTTCCACTCCGGTCAAGTCCGAGATGTTAATTCCGCTGGGTATGCTGAACCCCGTTAGTTTCCAGTTCTGGATCTTGTCTCCATAAGTAGCCAGCGCGTTAATAAACGCTAAAGCATTGCTTAGGAGCTCCTGGGTGTGAGCCGAATCCTGTTCTATCCGCTTACCGTCTTCAGGGCTAACCTCCAAGAGCGCATCGATGCACGTAGTGTGCAGTTCCATGGCCGCGCTCACCCAAGATTTCAAGTCATCCATCACTTTCTTTGTTGCCGTCGAATTAGACCCCCCTAGTACACTTATAGCCGCCTCCAGCTGCTCTTTACTCAGCTCCAGAACTTCATCACAAACTTCCAGTGCAGCAGTTACGTTGGGATTTGTCCTATTCAATCTCAAAATCGATGATAAAGTTGAATTCACTCCTGTTTCCGCACTTTGCAAGGAATACCTCGTCACCCCCTTTGAGTCGGCCGTGTAGTTCCCACTAGCCAACGTCTGAGCGCAGGTAGCGGGATACGACGTCGCTTGACAAACATTATCCGCCGCGCTCTGCTCTGAGTCGTTTGCCTTCGCCTTAGCCTTGTTCGCCAGTGGTACTCCAATTGACACTCCTGCGATCACTAACGCTAATATTGCAATAAACACCAAGCAACAACACTTCCCCATCGTCAAAAATCTTGACTTCCACACAACCAAACTCCCAATTAAACCCTTAAAATCACCCTCAGAGCCTAAACCTCAAGTTCCCTGCACGCCCTCAAAACTGTAATCAGAATAGCACAACTCTCGATTCTCTGGGTGATGGTTGTTGAGCCAGGAACAAGGATCTGAGAAACCCTCGGATGAAAACTGGTGATGATGTGGTGGGCTGTTGCTGTGGGGTCATATATGAGGACAGTTGTTGCCATGAGGCTGTTGGAAGTAAACGTGAGCCGGCAGCGACACGCTATCACATGTTGGGTTTAGAAGGATTCAACCGCGTGCAGAAATTCAACGTACTGCGCGTGAACGACAGTCAGGATTATTTCTCCAGGTTAACTCAGAAGGAAACGGATCGATGAGAGCTGCTGTAACAAACGCCATACAATTTCCTCGTAACTTCAGAAAAAGGGTTAGCTGGAGCCTGATTAGGCTGCCGGTTACACAACCTGCAAATTGATGCAAATTAAGTACACGTAGGCAGGGAGCAATCACGTGCAAGGAACAATAGAATCTGTCAAGCTTCTGACAGTGGGGAGCGTTGATAGGTTTGAGCTGGAGTTTGAAGGATTTTTGTACCTGTATGGTTCCAGCTTCGCAAGTTTCAAGAGTGACTGCACATTCTCGTGCAACATAATGAAAAGGCAACTCCAACTCATCTTTCGAGGCTCCATTACGAAGGCACATTGGACAGATCAACGCTCCAGCTTCAGTCAGTTCGGTGTTGCAGCATGACCGAACGTGCTCGCAGAGTCTTGCAGTGATCAAATTGTTCGTAGATTGCTGCGCCAAAACAAAATATATATATATATTTTTTTTTCCTTGAAAGTCATAAAATAATGAAACAAGATTAAATTGCAAGTGAGGTGGTGACTGTCTAAAATGAAAGACTTTCAAGAACAAACTGCTAAACAACGCTACCGATGATAAGCAAATCTTTGGGATCAATGTTATCGTTAGTTTATGATTTGAGGTTATCTCAAATTCTTTTTTCATAACATGCTTGGAATACAATCAATAAGAATGTTTACTCACCAATGGATTAGCTTGAATAAATTATTACCTTTTTGATAAAATTAATCTTTTTCACAAATACCGCATCATTAATATCCTGGAAAATACATGTTTCCATTGAGTGGTTGAATTATGTATTGATAAGCTCAATTTTTGTTAACAAAGATCTTAGCATGAATTCACGTCACTTAATCTAGACTAAACAAAATAATAGCAAAGTAATATCTTCGCAAGTTGGTTTCCCATTCCCTCTCGAACATTCCAAAGAAGAAAACTTGACGTCCTGATGTTTAGAAACTAAACGAGAAGGACAATAGTAGTTTCGCCAAGATGAAGCTCTTGTGAACAGCTAAGGGATATGGAGTTAACTGAAGAAGCCTCCATGGACCACCTCATGGCTACACCTCGAAGCAGCAATTTCTGCTGAGGAAATATGATACGCTCAACGTCAAGGCAGTGCTAAACACGCTCATGAAGAGTTTGTTTACCGATGTGCGGCGTGGAGTGTTAAATCTGTACAAGCTGGCGGACGTTTTGTCCCACGAGGTGGTGGCGTGGACCTGGTGCATAGTAAAGGTAGACAAGACACAACACAGCGGAACGTTGGACCCAGCTGACAACGTGCAAGTGGATGAGGTGTGGGTGTTGATGCAATTACACCAGAATAAGGAGTATCACTTCTGTCACGTTTATGTCAGGTTTTCAATTGACACTTTGTGGACTAAATTATCGTCAGCTTGGGGAGACGCTGGCAACACCTCAGACGAGTTTAGTGGGACTACTTTTGGTATTCTCAGACTTAGTTTTTATCTGATTGATGTGGGGAAGTTAGGTTGTTGAAGTTTGTAGTGCAAGAATTTGTGCTATGGCGTGGACTTGGTGCATCAGTCAGGGAAAGAAGTTGCAAATCCTCGTCTCTAGCAAGTGTTCGTTTTTGATGAATGTAAACATTTCGTATCCTTAAGTCATTTGGCGGCATCAGAAGCTTGTGTGACTAGCAAATCAAGCTGGGGAGGCGGCGAGTGAGGTTTCACACCAAGGGATGTTTCATCCCTTCCAAAAAAATTCTTGACTGGTGATGCAGGTTGACTTTGTCAGGGTCTACAGAGAGCCTGCTTTGACGGATGGCCTTCACCGTGTCAACGCTCCGTGGGGTTGCCCTGGGAGCTACACTCTGAGACACTGACCAAGTATTCTCACCCATGGTTCAACTTGGTGTGTTGTTGGTCACGTGGTACTTTCGTAGTTCAGATTACATGGATGCCGATTAGCCCTATTCAGGACGACAGGGGCTTGTTTCCCGATTGGAACATGTTTGGATTGGATGCCTTTTGATGGATCTTGTGCTCCTTGTTCATGAAAGTCTTGTACTCACATGTGCATCCGTTTAGTCTTATTTATGAGCCTCTTGAAAAGTTTTTACAGTACCTCGGTAGCATATAGTAGTTGCTTTAAACACTCTAGATTGTGGTGTATTTATATTCAAAAAATATTTATGATATGAAAAAAAGAAGTAAAAGTCTTTTATTAATAAACCTAATTGTATTATAGAAAGTAGAAGCAAGTTGGGTAGCAAATGATGTTTTGGAGTATTGGTAGGATGGGCAAAACTAGGACTAAACATTCCCTACAATAGAATTCCTTTCTTTTGTTTATGGATTTGGACATTTTTTTTTTTTTTTTTTTTTTTTTTTGAAGTATTCACTAGCATAAATTAAGAATTATGATTATGGAGAGGAAAACAGATGTGGAAGGTTTAATTGAGAGAAAGAGATTTAGAAGATATAGTTGAAAGAAAGAAAAGAAACTAAGAAGAAGGACAAATGGCTACTAAGCCAAAATTAAATTTATGTCAAAAAATAAATTGTATTCATTTCTATTATGTCATCTTGAAGGTTGCAAAAATCTCAATGCCTCATTTGGTAACTTAGCAAATAATAGCTTTTAAATTGAATTTTTTAGTTGTTGATTCTCTACATTTTTAATGCCACAAATTGTTACAAACATGTATATTTATCCACATAAGAAGTATTAGATAGAGGATAAATGTAAGTAGATTTAATATTATTTTGTGGTGAAGTTTTTTAGAAGCTTCATAGATATTGTTGAGATGAAAGCATTTGCTTTAGGAAAACACAAGACTTATGGCTGCAATTAGATATGGTCAAATAATATCTTTTATTTAAATAAATTCCACAACTTCATATTCATAATAGTATGGAGGAATTGCTACCCCTTCTTCATTCAATTAGTTGCCATAGGTCCATACTTCACTAGATTTGAGCATGTGATGGCTCTTTAGAGAGCTACTTAGTCCATACATGTGTATACAAAATCTCACTTCCTAAACATATTTTATGAGAAAATAAAACCATTGGTCATATTAATATAAGGGAATTTATTATTTATTAAAAAAGGTACTAAAATTTTATACGAATTCTTCTTGGAACAAAGAAGAGATTTTTAAAAAGCTCATAAAGAAAAAAATCTTCTTTCAAAATCTCAAAATAAATTACCAAACATACTATGAAAAAAATCCCAAAGAAAAACCTTAAAGAATGGCTAGCTCTCTCTTTATTCTAAATTATACTACATCTTTATACTAACTTCTCTCAAATTAAATCAAAGAAATTTGGAAAGTAAAAAAAAAGAAGAAAAACTCTTCAAAATCTCAAATCCAAATTCAAAATTCATTCTAAAAAAATCCGTGAAAAAAATCCTTAAAAGTAGCTAGCTCTTTTATTATCCAAAAAGACACCACTTATTCATACTAATTTCTTTTAGAAAAAATGAGAGCTTTCTAAAAAGCTTATAAAGAGAATAGAAACTCTTCTAAATCTCAAATCCAAGTTCAAAATACACTCTAAAAAAACCTCCAAAGCAAAATCCTAAAGAGTAGTTGGTTTTTTTTTTTTTTTCAAAAATAAACTATTGATTTATACTAAATCTTCTTAAAGTAAGTGAGAGCTTTCTAAAAATCTAATAAATAGAGGAAAAAATCCTCAAAATCTCAAATCCAAATTCAAAATACACTTTGAAAAAACCCTCAAAGAAAAACCTCAAATAGTGGTTGGTTCATTTTTTATTCAAAAAGACACCACTTTTGCATACTAATTCTTCTTGGAATAAATAAGAACTTTCTAAAAATCTTTTAAAGAAAGAAATAACTCCTCAAAATTTTAAATCCTAATTAAAAATATACTATATAAAACCTCTAAAGAAAAATCTTAAAATATAATTGTATTTTTTTTTAAAATAAAAATACATTGTTAATTCATACCAATTCTTCTTGAAGGAAGTAAGAGCTTTTTAAAAATATTATAAAGAGAAGATTTTTTTTTCAAAGTTTCAAACTCAAATTAAAAATATACTCTGAAAAAACCTCCAAAGGAAAATTCTAAAGAGTAGTTGGCTCTCTTTTATCCAAAAAGACACTGCTTGTTCATACTAATTCTTTTTAAAACAAATAAAGGCTTTTTAGAAATCTTATAAAGAATAAATTATTCTTAAAAATTTTAAATTTAAATTTGAAATACAATTTAAAAAAACTTCCAAAGAAAAACCTTAAAGAATAGTTAGCTCTTCTTTATATTAAAAAAAATGTACCATTGATTCATACTTCTTGAAGCAAGTGAGAGCTTTCTAGAAAGCTTATAAAGAAGAAAAAAAAACTCTTCAAAATTTAAAATCTAAATTCTTACAATATTTTATATTATTTTTATATAATATACTATTTTTTAGAATAACAATATGAATTTGATTTTATATATGTTTATAATTGATTATAGGTTAAAAACTTAGCCAAAAAATTAGTCATATGTTGCATGTATGGATAGCTTATGGTACAAGCTAACAATATGATATGCATACAAAAAAAATTTCTTGTAAGTTAAATCACATGTTTCGTAAATTGGACACGTGTTGGAGGTCCTATAAGATATTACCATATAACTCTTAATTGGATAGTATATATGGAAATAAGAATGAAGCCTTTTTTATTCTTATGAATGCCTTTCTAATCTTTAGACTTGTTTCAAGACTTTTTAATCTTCTTGTCTTTGGCTATAGCCATTCTAATTCAATATTATACCATCTGTGAGTGATTTTTAGTCTTTTCAAGTGACATAAGAGTGTATTGATTTTTTAATTCTGTGAGATTTATGTCCTTAAAAATTTCATA